TTTAACAGCTTTCCCACATAACGGTTCTTGATGAATTATGCAATGAATTACGGGAAATTTTAAATTTTGCTGCTTTAATTGACCGAAGAATCCGTTTTTCGTGCCTACCATTGCCTTTGCACCATAAGTTACCACAAAAGAACATTTAGAGAAATTAATATCGAACTTGTCCAAAGTTTGACTTACAGCTTGAAAAATATCTGCGCCCGTTGTTGTACCATGTAATGGCACGAAATCCAAGAGTTCCTCGGCATATGAAAAATCGTTTTGTACGATTCGAGCAAAAATGCTCAATTGACTCACATGCCGACTGTCGGTGCTCTCGTCAAGACACAATGAGAAATAGATGCAAGATGCTAATAAAGATTTTAATTTTTCTTGTAAACAAGAAGCAATATCATCAATTCGAGTTTTTATAGTTTTATCACTTAGTTGAATGCTAACAGCTTCTTCAAGAGTTATCGAATTTCCAAATGATTCTATCGCTGCGATGAGGCAATCTTTTATAAATGTCCCTTCAGTGAACGGCTTGGAATGTTTTGCAATTAGATTCGATATAGCATACGATGCGGTGAGAGCTTTTCTTGAAGATATAGCATTATCGATAGAAGTCGAACTACTAACTTCTTGATAAGTTAATTTTAATCCTTCAATTGTTTTAATCCAAATTGTTTTTCTCCTCGTCTACATATTGTGAATACTCTTTGGAATGTTTAATATTATAATGTCTGTGAAGAAAATATTTTTTAACAATGGATGGCTGATAACCACACAGAAGACAGGTGGTTTTATTATAAATGTCTGCAAAAAAGATTTCTTCCCACATCTTATCAAATCTTAATGCATTTTTCTGCTTACTATCCATTCTTAGAAGAAAAATAGAATAATACAAGCAAGGAAAGAAAAATAATATTAAATTGTATAATATATTCCACACACACGCACATGCACCACAAACACACATGCACCACAAATACATAAACACTTCACTTTGTTAAGGATTACCAGTCAATTCACACTTACATTTTGCACTGCCGTAGTTTGTATTATCAAAGCACTCTATCACTAATTAAAATAATAGCT